AAGATTTTATTTATTTATTTGACAGAGAGAGACACAGCGAGAGAGGGAACACAAGCAGGGGGAGTGGGAGAGGGAGAAGCAGGCTTTCCGCTGAGCAGGGAACCCGATGCGGGGCTCGATCCCAGGACCCTGGGATCATGGCCTGAGCCGAAGTGTGAGCCTAAGCTCACACTTAACGATTGAGCCACCCAGGCGCCACCGGGTATTATCTTTTTTCAAAGAAATCAACTCCGAGAGATTGCACAGCTGATGGCGGGACCTCAATTCGTACTCCTGTCTGTCTGGCTTCGAAGCCTGCCTTCTTTTTGCTATGCCCTTGTTACCCAGTCTTTATAGCCTCTCCTGAGCTGGGGTTTGGGGGCCTGTGCACCCACTGATATCTGGGTAGCCAGACTGATCCATGGCCAAGCCTGGGCCTGCAGAGGACCCCTGTGCCAGGCTGTGTCCCTAGAGCCTGGACTTCTCCCCATCCCCTTCCTTCCCCAGTCCAGAAGTTCTGAGTTGTGACTTTTTTTTTTTAAAGGCCTGGGGGTCACTCCCTTGACCTCTCCTGATGGCCACTGTGAGGAAGGCATTAAGCGGGGGAGGACTTTGCCAATGTTAAGTGCTTTATTAATAGTATCCGCACTGAGTGCACTCTGAGCTGGAGAGGGTCCAGGGGTGGGAGGGTGTGGGCAGAAAGTCTTACTCATGCTTTTCAGCAAGCCCTCTCCGTGGTTCCCGGTCTCTTTTGTGGAGCTGATCTGGGTCCTTCCTTCTCTTCTGCTTTGTGCTCAGCGACTTCCCCCTCTCTCTTCTCCACCTCTACCTTCCTCTGCCATCCTCTGTCCAGGGGGCAGTGGCCACGGAGTGGAAAGAAACGACCCTAAGCTATAGAGGGGTGCTCAGCAGGGAGGGGGCAAGAGGGCAGCCTGTGAACTGAAGTCTGAGGTCAGAGGGCAGACACAGCCAGGAGGGGCTGATAGGATGACCCTCCAGTCTCAGGCTCAGACTTACGTCCGGGGCAACATGCAAGTGGGGAGTGGCAGGTAGCTAAGGCAGGAGCCCCGGCACAGTGCGGGGTGCTGGCCTGGGGGCCTGGGCTCGTGGGCGGGGGAACTGGTCTGGCAGACTCTTCTCCCTTCTAGCCTTTTCTCCCCCTCAGAGGTGAGGCTGTGGGTGTGTTCACATCAGTCATCAAAAATGCATGGCGTGGGGGAGGTGGGGCAGGAAGGACAGGGCACTAACATTGATTAAACACCTCAGTGTGCCAGGGTCTTGGCAATTGCTGCATTGCTTCCTGGTTCTCTTCACAAGAGGTGAGTGTGTCCAGGTTACAGAGTCAGAGGTAAAGTCTAGACCTGAGCTCAGGTTTGGCCGCCGCAGGAGCGCATGAGCTTTCTACCACACCTGCAGCCTGTGGTTACACATCACCGTGCTGCAGTGGGTGGAGCCAGCTCTGGACCCATGGAGGGCGCGGCGGGGAGAGGAGTGCCTGTCCCCATCTTGGGTGTGATGGCCAGCGCACACAAGATCCTTCCCCAGGGAGCCCCTCTTCCCACGGCTGGGCTGGGAGCTGTAGCAGGGACACCGGGCTCGCAGGGCCACTGGGGCTCTCTCTGGCGGTGTGGAAAACCAGAACAGGCAGGAGGCCTGGCATCCCTGCCCCCATCTTCAGCCACTGATTCAGAGCTGCTCCCAAGAGGCCTGAGGATGGACCTGGCCCTGGCTCCCGGGCTTCATCACTAGGCTCTCAGAGTCTCTCCGACCTCTTCCCCTCACCTTGACCCTCGGCCTTCCAGCCCCCTCTCTCCAAATTAGGTTCCTGGTTGTTCTCTAGGTGGTGCTTTCAAAGTGTGCTTCCTTAGCAAAGCCCTGGGGCAGCCCCAAGACCCTGGGGGGGTGGACATATTGGGGGCGGAGAGGCAGAGCCCCCGCCCCACATCGGTCGCCACAGAGCAAGTCTTCCTGTTCATTGGGTGTGCGGGCCCAGCGCTTCTGGGCCAGAGTCCCTAAGATGCCCGTATGGGAGAACCACAGCCCAGGCTCAGGCTCCGTGGCTTCTGGAGGTACTCCCATTTCAAATAAAGGGTTGTTGATTGACCAACTGATTAATTCCCACGATCCATTTGATTTCTATCCCCTCTGAAGAAAGAGTTTCCCTTACTCCTGGTTCTTCCTCACAGGCCAAGACAAGACAGTCCCTTGGTATTTGTTTGTATGGGTCTATCTTGGTACCGCCATGCCAGGCCAAGGCCTCACAGACTGCGGGAAGCCTGCTGGTGCTTCCAGAATCTACCTCCCACCCTGGGTACACACACACACACACACACACACGCGCGTGCACGCACATGCACACACACCCTTCACAATCGGCCCAGACATGGCCATTGGCCTTCATTTACTGCTACAACTCTTGGATGATGCTAGGGGATTATAGTTTTGAATTCATTCCTGACATTCAACCACAGCCCTGGCTGTTGCAGCTAACCCCGCACATAGCACGTAACTGCTATCGTGTTAGTGCACACAGCAGGCTCTTTATAGACATTACGTTTATACCCGAGGCTTGGTCGCCATTTTACGGAAATGGCCATAGAGGCTCAGGAAGGCAGTTGTCCTGCACCAGAGCTGAGCTGGTTGTGTGAGGAAGGAGATTCCTCCCTGGGCTGCTCTTCCAGACCTGATGGTCGCAGCCACCGCTGCCCAGCCCGGTGCCTCAGCCGGCTGCTCTGATCGGAGGGACCGGGGAAAGGGGACACATCCGCTGCTACCCCAGCGGTGAGGACTCTGGGAAACAGAAGAGTCCTGGCTGAGGATCCACATTTTCTTCCCTGGGAGAAGGGCAGGAGAGCGCGTGGCCACCCGCAGCAACCACCGTCCTGGCCCCACAGAACCTCACCCCGTCCCTGCAACACTTGCCCAGTCCTTAGCTCTCCTCAGAATATGTCTGTCCTCATTCCCTCACTTGATGTCACACTTCTTCATGGCAGCAGCAAGCACCAGAGAGCCTCCCAGCTTTAGGTCCCACTAAGGTGGGTCCATAGTGGTCCCTCTCCTCTGCCTTGGCCTCTGGAAGATGGGATCCCTACCAGAGAGCCTCTCTCCAGGGCCACGCCCTCTGTAGATCCAAGGATGACCACAGAGTCTGGAACCTGGGGGGTTATTCATACCCCACGCTGCCACTCCACATCCCCAATACACACACACACTCACCATGAGATGCTGGAAGAGCCAAGAACGCATTATATTGGTGGCATGCTTGGGCAAGACTCCTCGTTTGTTCTTGGACTTCTTATCCTCATTGTCCAGGAGGGAGGTGAGGTCAAGGTTAACCTTCAGGGCACGTGGAGAAAAAATCAGCATCAGCAGCCTGGCGGGCCAGCAGCTAGGGACCTGTTGCCATAGTGACGGCAGGCTCTTGCTGCCAACCCCCTTTTCCAGCTCATTCTTAGGGCCCTGGGGAGGTCACCTTTCCTTTTACTCTGCACCAGCCCCTCAGAGAATGGGAGACAGGGAGAAGGAGAAGAAGGAGGAAGAGGAGAAGGGGATGAGAGAGGACACAGAGGAAACAGGGACATGCAGAGGGTAGAGGAGAGACAAATTTGCCAGAAACCATCCACTAGTTATTAGCATTTCTAGGTTAGTTTACGGTTTGCAAAGCACCTTCCTCTCCATTACCGTGGTTAGCACTGACAGCAGCCCTGGAAGTTGGTAGGGCTCTGGGCAGGTGGTGTTAATCCCCCCTCTGTGGATAAGAGCTCTGAGGCTCGGGGAGGTCAGGTGACTTATCCAAGATGACAGAATTAATGTCACATCTCAGGCCTGACTTCAGATCTTCTTCCTCCCCCAACCTGTGTGTGTGCTCTATCCCACTGAGCTACAGAGTGGCTCCGGCTAGAGACCAGGGATAGGAGGTGCAGAATCCTTTGACATAACCTTGAGGGGTAGGGAAATCCCAGGAGTTGATAAAGCCTTTCAGACCCCCAGCTTCCGATCTGTAAACTGGGGGTAATGATACCTCTTAGAGGAATAACGAGGATTAAGTGAGTCACTTGTGCAAAGGGCCTAGCAGAGAGCGAACAGTTATGGTTGTCCACCCCCCCACCTGTGCACATGAGCACACGCCTGTGCACGCACACTCACCTGTGTATTCTGGATCTGGATGGCTCCCTGGGGGATTGCTTGGGTGACCACCTGACCCTGGGAGGTTACCATGGTAACTGGCTGGTATAAGGCTCCACCTGAGGAGACAACCAGTTTTTGGATCCCCTGCCATGGGGGTTGGTAGGAGTGAGGGCAAGCAGGATTTCCAACTCACTTGGCACTCCCATGTAAACACCTTCTATTCTGGAGGCACTCAAGCCCCTGTTGGGAGTGATGGGGTGGGAACAGGGTCCAGAGAACAGAGCCTCTGGTGGGAAGTGTTTGGGGCAGGGACAACAGCTTTACTTGGTCTTTGAGAGACTCATGAGACTTTGACCCAAATTTGTTCCAAAATACCACAATCAGGCCTTGGTGCTAGCCATCTATAAACTTACAGAACACTTTAGTCAAGAAATTGAACTGGAAGCCCCTCCTTGGCAGGGGGCACCCCTCCCATTTCCTAAGATTGTTTGTACGGTACCCTGCCCTCCCACCCCCTGGAATCCCCTTGGGGCCACCCCTTCTCCTCCCAGGGGTGTTCCCCATAATCCCCTGCACCGACCTGACACCACTTGTGAGTTGACGGTTGTCATGGCGATGTTGCCCTGCTGGAGCGCTGAGGCTGGGACCACAATCCCCTGGGGGTTATTGGAGACTCCAGACATGGAATTGGGGGAATTCTGCAGGAGGTCCTGGCAGTAAGGGAGGCGTGGTTTGTGACAATGTCACTAAATGCTTAGAAGCCACAGCCCCAAACTCCTCCTCTCCCTTTCTCCCTTCCTGTCTTCCTTCCTCCCTTTTTCCTGAGCCTCCCAGGACCCAAATCTGAAAGGCAATTCTCATGGCCTTCCAGAAGCAGTGAACAAAGTCTCAATATTAAAAACCAACCAACCAACCAACCAACCAACCAACCAGCCAGCCAGCCAGCCAACCAACCAACCAACAATATTTATCCACTTAGCCATTCCATTCTTCTGAAACCTGAGACACAAATCATCTCATAAACCAGTGGTCCCCACTTCGGCTTCACTTTGGAATTTCCAATACTGATGCCTGGGTTCTAACCCCAGCGATTCTTCTAATTCCATTGGTTGGGGGTGTGGCCAGGGCTTTGGTGTTTTTCAAGCTCCCTAAGTGGTTTTAACGTGTGGCCAGGGCCGAGAACCAGTCTTTATCTGCCTAGCACCTCTTCACCCTTCACACTGAAATGTCTCCAGATGCCTTCCCTGACACCCTCTCCCCCCGAGAACCTCACTTCCTCATGTACCTATATCACATTATTTATTACACCCAGCTCCACACAAAAGTGGCCTCCAACATTCTATCTTTGTATCCTGAGCATCTAATTCAGGTGCCTGGCATACAGTGGCCACTAAAATCGTTGTTCAATAATAATACAAAAACATCCACCCTAGCCTCTTTACAACCTGCCTTCTAAGGGCATGTCATAGGAGCCTCGACCTCAAGCCACCCTTTGGCACATTTCATCTATTCTTTCCTTTTCCCCAGGCTGCCAACACAGAATCCCACTGCAGACAGAGTCCTCCTTTGCCCCACACTGTCAACCAGCCAGCCCCTGTTTTTCCCAGGAAACAATCCATGCAGTTTGTTTTTGCAGCAGTCAAAGCAGATAAGAAGAGCATTTTTTCCTGGCAATCTGGTCCCCTCGTTATTGCCATGTCACAGCTGGGCCAGGAAGTGCTTGGGCCTGATATGGAGGGACTCTGCATACCATGCACAAGGGGAGGGAGCTTGGTCGCAGCCTCCAAGAAACATCAGTAAACTCTCCCTGCCTGGGGGTTCAGCGCTTGCTCGGGGTGGGGAGAAATTGTGGGGAAGGAATTGGGTGTGCGAGAGGTTGGGGTCTCTAGGCTTTATTTGGAGAAAGCAAGAACGGTGGCGAATGAGGTGCAATGGAAGGAGCTCTGGGAGACTGGCCTGGGTCCCTGAGCGCCTCCGACCACAGTGCCTCATCTGAAAACAGGGCTTGAACCAAGTAACCTGTCTGATGACCATCTAGGGCTGACGCTCTCATGAACACAGCTTGGAGTCATAATGCATGAGCTGTAAGAATTTAGACAGGTAAACAATCAAGAAAATAGACCACCACTGACTTTCGTTTTAGGACTGGGAGAGAAGCTTGGGCTTTCAGCCTCCAGGGAAGGTCTAGAGTTTCTTGGAGCCAAACTCTTGGTCTTCCCACTCAAGCGGTTCAAGTCTAATATTGAGGCCCACCTTCCGAAGCCTAAAAATTGGAAGAGCCCTTAAAAGCCACATATTCCAACTCCCTGAGCACAAATAAGGAACTGAGGCTTCTTAGAAACCCAAGTGACTCACCCAAGGCCCCCAGCTGGTTCACAGCAATGGGACTAGAACACAGCCCTCCTTCATCCACAAATACTGAACACCCACCTTGTGCCAAGAACCGGGCTACGAGGTGCTCCTGGAATCACAGGGGTTCAGTACATAGTTACTGCAGGCAAGGTGAACAGGTGAAACAATCAAACCCCAGAAGTACAGAGGCAGCATGGGCTACAGAGGAAAGACCATAGACTTGGGAATCAGCAAATCCCGGCCCTTCTGGGAGCCTCAGTCTCATTTATAAAATGTGTATGGCCCAGTGCTGACATCCAGGAGCCCTCAAAGCCTGTTTTTCAGCTCTGTGTCCATCTAACATTGACCCTGCCCCCGTCCCGACATCCCCGCCAACCATTCTCACAGGACATAACCAATGCTGGTGTTATTTGAAGCTGAAGCAAAAGCTGGACGGTAAATGTAATAGAAGAGGGTGTCATCTCTCCATGCGTTTCACCCTAAAACTAATGGAAATGACTTTTCACTAATCTCTCGTCTGGAATCATTCATGCCACGGTACTCCTCATCGGGGAAAGGCATTTGGGAATTTCAAACATAAAATGTTGCCCCAGACTTGCCTTTTCCCTGAAAAAAAGTATCCAGCAAGGTTAGGAAAACACAAGCGAAATCAGTAAAATAAATACAAGATGTGGGCCTTGGGATTCAACCAACACACATTTTCGCCAGCCAGAGGCAGAAGGGTGAGCTATCGCCTGGATACTTCATCTGCTTATTCACACTCTGGCTGGTTCTCTGCCCTGTGGTCTTGCTGGCCTCCATGCCAGGTTCTGGGTTTGGGTAACTAAAGGCAATTTATGCATTAGATCAGACTCTTCTCTTTCTTACCTTCTCCTACTCTGGGGTCGTTGGCTGGGACATGCCGAGAGGCAGCCAAGTTGTATCAGCAAAGGAATGGAGTATCAAAGTTCACGGGCAGAGACCACGGGCAGAGCTAGGGCTAGTCCCATCTTAGCTGGGCAAAAAAGCGGAAGGAAAATCTGGGCCTCCCTGAGGTCTGGGGAAATAATATCCATCCCCTACATTTGTAAAAATGAGCTGTTTCACACACTGGCCTGAGCCCTGCCATGTTTCCAGAGACAGAGTCTCAGGGTCATTGAACCAGACCCTCTGTGATCTGTATTTGTAAAAACCGCCCTCAGCTGGTTCCAAAGACCAATGGCTCTGAAACTACCTATTTATTACACACATCGAATATTAGCATTCTTTTACCATGCTATTTCATTTTAATCTCCTCACTACTATGGGAGAAATGATTTTATTTGCCTGAAGAGGAACTGAGGTCCAGAGAACCAAAGTGACTTCCTGGAGTCACACAGCTGTGCCTTGAACCCAGGTCCTTTGGCTCTGAGCGCAGCGCTGATGCTCGCTTGGAGAGATGTGCTTTGGAGTCAGACATCCCGGCTCCACGTAAGCAGGGAGCCTGGCACATGTAAGCACCCAATAAATCACTTTCCACTTCCTTTGGCTAAAGCCACTCAATGAGGGAGCTGAGTTTGGCACATCCAGGATTTAAAAACTTGTCCTAGAAGGTCCTAGAGCCGTTTGGGTTCTTTACTTAGCAGCAGTGGAGATTCAGCTGGGACTGCACACCGAGCCGCGGTGGTCAGTCCTCACCTCGCGCCCCCTTCATTCCTGCCTCCTCTCCGAAGACATTCCCGGGCCCCGGCCAAGCCCCACAAGTGGGAGCTGCGACCCTGTCTTGAATGAGCTCTGTGACCTGACTGCAGCCATTTCAGGGGTAGCGGTGGGTCTAGCTCTCTTGAGCCTTTGTCTCTACAGAGACGTGGGCTCTGAATCTCTGGGAACAGTCTACGGCTTTTCTGAGGAAGGAGCTACTATGGCAGCAGTGGAAGCCCCTTGGGGAGAAAATGTTGGCTAAGCACACAGTATTTTTATCTTCTTGACAGCTTCCTCTTGGGGCTTATCAGACTCCCAAGCAGGTGGATGATGCTCTGTCTAGACCCAAACAGAGCTGTTTCCTTCCAGGCTCCTTAGCGCCCATAAAGAGGTGAGAAGCACATGTGAACAGGTTTTAGCGACATTCTTCAGCATTCAGAGTCTCACATCCCTGCCCCAATTGTCCAGGAACCAGGGGCTCAGAGCTGGTTATCTAGCTCAAGAACTCTGCCTTGTCCCACCAGGATTGGCCGTGGCGTCCCCAAGCCTCTGAAAACTGCTGGAAGCCTGGCTTCCCTGGTGGAGCCATCCCACCAAACTGGGGTGTGTGTGGGCTCCTACTTTCTAGTAGTAAGATTTGCTTTCCCAGTAGGACAAGGTCCTAAAGCTGAAAACTTCCCTAGAGTTTCCTGGGAATGACATCTCTGGGCCTGGACCAAGGGACCCAGGACTTGGATGGAAACCCACAAGCTGGGCTCCACAGGCCTCCCCAGAAGCTGTCCCACTGACGATCCTTGTGTGCTGTTTTTCTGAGACACAGAGAGGCAGAGAGCCTCTCTGAAGTGGGCAGAGCAAGGTAGGGGAGCAGCTTTAGAACGGCTGAGAGCTCGCACCTCCTAAACCCCGTGGACCAGCTGCAAAGCCTTCACTGCCTCGCGCCATCGGCCATGGTGGTCACTGGGTGAGTTTTACTCCAAATCTCATTTTGGAAAAACAATAACAAAAAAGATGATTTGTTCAAAAGGAAGGCCTTCCTAAGGACAAGTGAAAGGTTCTGGGATCGCGCTTGGAAGCGGAGGGTGCTCGGGTGGGGTGTGTGTGGCACGAAGGAACGGACTATGGCTATGAACTCTGACCTCATGGTCTGATGTCAGCCCGGGAGGAGCCGGCTCAGTCCCTGGAGCCACCAGTCTTCACTGTTAATCGGGAAAGGGCTTCTGTTGCCCAGGGAAACGAAATTTCCACCAAAGGAAGAAATTCCCGGAATAAACTGATGGGAGGAAGAAAGGAAGGAGTGAAGGCAAAGATGGATAGAAAAATTTTCCTTTAAGTTATTTTGAAATAGCCGGAATGTTTATTTTACTAGGATGCCTGTGGAACAGGGGACATGAACTAGATGACACGGCAACGGTCCTTCCGACTGACGATTTTAGAAAAACCAATGCCATTCCCTAGGATCTATTGTGTGTGTTTGGGGGGGGGTTGGTAAGCAGGTGGGGGGGGTAGGAGTTGGAGGGGGCAGTACAGCCCATGGGGCCCCGCTGTCTGCCATCCACCTCCAGGCCACTAGGGGTCTCTGCTGATCCACCAGCACAGATTGCTCTCCCCCAAACCTCCCCAAGCCTCCCGGGAGGACAGGTCTGTGGGCTAACTGGCCTGGGCTGGCGGGTGGGGACTTTGTCTGGGGTGTCTCACTTCT